GAAAGAGAATACCGGGAATGTACGATAAACGGTTAGACGTTACACGCGTGAATGCATACCTCTAGGGATGCCCGTTTCGTCGGGTTGAGCACCAAAAACTTCTTCAAGAGGCCTTCACAGTCCGTGGACATGTAAAACGGGATTCGATATTTTCCTCGTAGTACTCGTTCCCTCAGTTCCCTCAGCGTCGAACCGTCGAAGGGCAATGATCCAGACACTAAGGTATACAATATTACACCCAACGACCAGACGTCTACTTCGGGACCGTCGTACTTTTTACCTAAAAAGGGCAGACAAGCATCCTCGGATAACGTCGTTTCTCTTCGTGTCGCGAAAAGAAGAGAGCAAGAGAGGAGGATAATTCGCGAGCGTATACCCTGGAAAAGTTCAGGTGCCGCGTAAGGGGGTGAGCCACAGAAGGTGTCCAACTTGTTCCCCGGTGTGAATTCATTGCTGAAGCCAAAGTCGGCGATTTTGATGTTCATCTCGCTGTCGAGTAACAAGTTTTCGGCCTTCAAATCCCTGTGAATGATCTTTTTTTGATGGCAGTATTGCACGGCAGAGACAATCTGCCGGAATTTTGCTCTGGCTTCCTTCTCCTTCATACGACCATGTAAAACCAAGTAGTCGAAGACTTCGCCACCGCTGGCGTACTCCATTACCAGGTACAATGTTTTGTCGGTCTCGATTACTTGGAAAAGCTTCACTATGTTCGGATGATCGAGCATCTTCATTATTCTTACTTCCCGGAACAACTGCAACACGGGAACGTTATTAATCGTTTCGTTTGGCACACGGTCCGGCTCTCGTTCCTTACCTTTTGAAGGCTACCAGGGTTCAGTTGAGTCTTGTCGATAATTTTGATAGCCACTTCTCTCCCGGTAGGTAAGTGTTTGGCAAGTTTTACCTTGGCAAAGTTACCTTTGCCAATTGTTTTGAGTAATTTGTACTTGCCGATGTGGGGCTCCTCCGAGGTCCGACTTCGAGAAGAAGGCCGACCACCGCTACTCGACACTCCCACGCCATCCCCTGTCTGCAATAAACGCAAGCAATTCTCGTTAGCGAAACAAACTCGAATAACGCTGATTCTCGCGCGACATTGCAGCTGCAGCGACAACCATCGTGCGTCGTGTGCCGATCGATTTCCATCGATTTCCATCGGTTTCGATCGGTTTCGATCGGTTTCGATCGGTTTCGATCACTCGATTCGAATATTCGCCTGAGCTGGTTCTTTGGAATTTTATTCGAATTCGCTACATTTCCACTCCATTCCACTTCATTTCACTCAATTTTACACGACCATACACGATTTTATCCGAATTTGCTGGCGGTGATCACGCGTGATCACGCGACAACGCGAATACGTTTCATACATCTGTAGGAGTGGGCACTCTGGTCGATGGAATTAACGGAAAAACGTCTAAAAGCTGCGCGAAATACAGGCATTGTCTCGAACGAAGCGCGCGACGACGCGTTAAGCTAGCAACAATGGTCCTTGTCACCACCCATGTTCAACGATATCGTTACACGTTGTAAATTTCCTCGATGGAACTCGACGATAGGAAAAAAAGTAGAGAGAAGAGAGAAGAGAGAAGAGAGAAGAGAGAAGAGAGAAGAGAGAAAAAAAAAGAAAAAAACGAGCAGACGCGGACCATGTTTCTTTACGCTTACAAATGGCGTACGCACAGGCTAGGTGATTCGATTCGCCGGAACCTTGTGGCCAGGAATTCTTTGCGGGGGAATCGCGTACGATTTAGGAATCGTAGGATAAACGTTTGAAAGGAAGGTCCTCGGAAGATATGGCGAGTTTTTCGCAGAGATAATTACCCGCGTATGGCCACGAGTGACCATCTTGCAAGAGGAGGCTGCAGCAACTTTCGAGGCCGCCAGTTTGATCGGTCTTTTTTCGACGCTTCGAAGGACAAGAGAACCGACGCGGTATCGAGAAGAAAATCGAGAACGCGACGATCACTTGCTGCTGGAGTTGATCTGCGACCGCAACTGGTAAACTAGACGTTGCTCGCAACGCATTTTCCTTTATGCGACTCACTCGAGACGAAAAGAAGCGGCTTTTTCGGAGATTACGAAGGAAATGTCCGAACGAACGAGATACTCGAACAAGGATCTCCCAGTTTCTTCGTCGTTCACTTTCCCGAACATATTCGTCGATCTGGTTTCGGAGATAAATCCATACTCGCGAACGTGATCACCTCACCGGGATAACGCAGCTCGCGCGTCGTAAGATCGAAAAGCACGTTTCCATCGACTAGAACAACAGAACGTATGGTTGTTTGGTCCGTGGGTGTAGATAATTTCCCATGATACTCATACTCGGGCAGACACAGTCGTATCTTTGTACATGGCGCGTATCCGCTGTACTCTCGCGTACACGCGTCTCGAACGCACACGAGTCGAGCACCGAAAGGGTGCAAAGAGTATATCAATCACGAGGAGAAGGTGGTGCGGAGATCGCGGCGTGTCCACCCCGGATCACTGTTCGTTGTTGCATTCGCACGTAAGATCGGGGCACGGTTGGAAAGCAGCGAAGCTGCACGCGCTCCGTTTCTTTGTAACTGTCGCTTCGGAAAAATTTCGAAGCGATTTCACCGACGAGAAATTTCTCCAGCGTCGAGACGGCGAGGTACGGAGAGGGTGGCGAGTGCGCGTCGATAGGGAGAAAGAGGGATTTCGCTGGTTCGCTGGCCGGACCCGTTCGAAATTTAGGTACGGAGAGGGTGGCGAGTGCGCGTCGATAGGGAGAAAGAGGGATTTCGCTGGTTCGCTGGTTCGCTGGTTCGCTGGCCGGACCCGTTCGAAATCCGTTAAACGAATCGAAAGGACGACACTGGCAGGGAAGCGAGAAAACTAGCGATCGGGGATTGAAACGGATGTTCCGGAGGCGTGCCACGAACGCGAACGCGAACGCGAGCGCGAGCGCGAGCGCGTACGCGTCTGACGTCACTAATCACAATCGGCGGCCTTCGTCTGTGGGTTAGGTCGTGCGAGGACCGAGCGAACCGCATCCTCGTCCTCCGGTCGCTGACAGATCGAACTCGAAGGCGTTGGCACGCGGACTCGACGCGAAAGCGGACCTCGAGTAGACGTCCAGAGCTGCTGCTCTCGTTTCGCCCTGTTCGCCGCTACCTTCCACCTCTTCCACTCCTTCTTCCTCTCCTTCCTCTCCTTCCTCTCCTTCCTCTTCTTTCTCTTCTTCCTCTACTCCCCCTCCGCCTCCTCTGCCTCCTCCACCCTCGCTTTCCTTCACCGGATAGGGAGAGACGCTCGTCGTCGGCCAGAAAAGTCCACGGTCGACGGATGCGAAAGGAGAATCAATACGCGTAATGCCGCCACCCCTGCTGCTAGCGTGCATGCGAGCCACCCTTCGAAGTCGAGTTTTCTCCCGACCCAACTTCCCGGCCTTCCCTTACAGTAGCCCCGACGCCATCATCGCGACCACGACACCGCTTTCACCACCATCATCCCGATCATGGCGACCAACGACGGACGACGAGGACGAGCAACGTCGACGATCACCTCGATCGCGACACGACCACGACCACGACCACGACCACCACCGCGACGTAGACGACTACGACGACTACGACGACGAGGGGACGGTGGCGACGACGGCAACGACTAGCGCAACGACTAACACACCGCGATCATACCGACACGAGCACGCACGCGCATGCGCCAAACTCGCAAACCAGTGCCACCACTGCTATACCCCGCCATCCAATGCAACCCCTCTTTTCAACTTTCGCGGATCACCTCGGTTCTCCCGTCACGCGCGATCGAAACCGAGTTTTCGCGTGATCAGCTGATTACCTCTGATCGATGAACAGACGTTTCCAAATTTCCAACCTTCTCCATCGATCCATCTTAAAACGAAAGAGAAGAAAAAGAGAAAAAAGGCGGGAGGGGGTGGGGGGAAAGAACGAAGAAGAAGGAAAGATCGAACGCGACCATTACGCCGTTGAACCACCCAGCTACGCGTAGTAGTCGCGTAGCTTTTTTCGAATCGTAAACGCGAAACGCGTTTGAAATATCACGCGATTCGCTGGTTGGCAAGAAGGGAAGGTAACGCGGGAGCAGGTTAATCGCTGCCAGATGCGAGAAAATTTTGGCACGACGCGCGTGCAATCTGCTGACTCGAGGAAAAAAGGGAGAAGGGGGGAAAAAAATAAGAGGCGGAATGCAGGGTAGAGCGTGTAACGCGAAGATGGTTAACAGGCTTGGACGAGTCTCACGATCGTTAGGCGATATACACCTTTGCACGATCGAACGGGCAAGACAAGCCATCCGCGTTATTTTAGCTGAAACGGACGAGGTGCGTACACAGACCACCGCAGACTACGAGTATCGAGTGCGTGACCCGAGTATGCGAATACGTTTAAGTCGCTGTACTTTTATCGTACTCGACGGACCGGATAAGGATCGCGGCCACGTCCATCCACGTATACGCGATCCGCGGACATCGTCTTTCGACCTATCCTTTCGATTCGATGGTTCCGTCTGTACGCGCGTTTTCCTTCCGTGCCACGGCTTACGCGACGCGTACGTCGTGTCGTTCTCGTTGCTCGAATGAACGAAAACGGAAGGAAACGGAAGAAAACGAAAAAGAGAAAAGCAAAAAAAAAGAAAAAAAAAACAAAAGTAATAAAAATAAAACGGAAAGGAAAGATAAAGAAAAGAAAAAGGAAAAATTAGGTACTCGAGCAAAATTACTCGTACAAATCTCCCTTTTCTGTCCTTTCCTATCTCTCCCCCTCTGTCCCTCCGCCACGACAACCAATTCGTCCCCCCCGCCTCCCCCTCGAAGGAGTTTACTACTTCTATTTAATTGCCGTCCGCTATAAACGATATCTACCTCCTTCTCATTTTGACCACCCTTCTGCGTGACGTCTGACAATGGCCTGAGCGCGCTGCTAACCACGCTGCTCTGTCGCTGCTGTTGATGCCGATCTTTCTTCGCGCTGACGGGCCGCGCGAGCACGCGCGTTTGCTGTACCCTAGCCTGGGCTCGAAGAGGTATTTCCGCTTCCTGTCCTCGTCTCGTGTCCGAGGCTGTCCTTGATAATTTCGTCGAGGCTTTCTTCGTCGTCGCGCCCGCGTTTCCCGTAGAGTTCCTCGTCGCGTCTCCTCGGTGTAACGGAGAGGACCTTTTCGGTTCAATTCACCGTGGTCATTTCAAAGCTCCATCCTTTATCGTTATTCCTACGATATCGCGTTATACCGACGTGCCTCCGTCGCGTTTTCATCCCGCCCGATCCTACCGTCCACGAGTCTCGCGCGTCTCTTATCCAAGTTTGCGCGATGAAAATTACTCTCTCTCGCGGGACGCGAGTCTCGTCGAGTCGCGGTTTACCGGGCAAAACGACGAAACGGACGAGACAAAAATGGGGGGGGGAAAAAAAAAGAAAGAAAAAGGAAACGAAAAGTTAAACGAGAGAAAGAAAAAAAAGGGGGGGGGGGTGTAAAAAATACGAAAACGAGAAAACGAGAAAACGAGAAAAATAAAAGGGGCGAAAGAAAAGAGAGTAGGGAAGCGGAACGTCGGAATAATACGTGTGGCGAATGCATATTATACGCGAAAGAATCGTAGTTCGTATGGTGAGAAGAGAGAAAATGTTACCCCTCGGCCTCGTCATCCGTCACGTTTCGAAGTAGATCCTCGTGTTCCGTGTACCGAAGGTCCCTGTATCGAATTTCCGGCTCGAAATCCGAGATGAGCTCCACCTCGCGCATTCTGGCTGCTATAGTGTCCATTTCGATGGCCTTGAACTGCTGCTCCAATCGTTGAAGCATATCCGTACTCTCGGCGGCCGAGCCTTTTCGCTGTTTCAGAATCATTTCGAGGTTAATCGGGATTTTGGCCGCGTCGTCGGCGCGATCGCGCTGCGTCGCTATCACCGGCTGAACGATCTTCGAGTCTTTGAAGGCCTTCAACTTCTCCTCGAGGTTCGCGTCGAACGCGACGCTGGTCGGCAGACTTTTCCTCCCTGTCATCGGACTGGCGGCGTCTTTGCCGGTGAAGCTGGGCGTACGTTCCACCCCACCGGCGGCACCCCCCTTCGACGCAGCGTTCGCGGCGCTCCTCTTTTCTACCACCCGCAGACCCCGATCGCACTCTACCAATTCCCACTGTTTCAAATTGTCCATCGGGGCGCGAGATGCTGCCACGTACTTGCCGGAGGAGGCCGCCGAGGCGGTGCTCGTCGGTTCTTTGTCGTCACGGTATCCGACCATCTGACGTTGCTCCTTCTCCGTCATCGCCACCACGTTCGCCTCCAGGTTTTTTCGATCCACGTGGAATCGAATCGTGGCTCTACTCGCTTGCGTACGAGAGAACGCTCTTTTTCGGTCCTCCATGTTGCTCGTCGACGACCACTATTGGCAAACTAGCGAAACACAGGTCGGTATGCGATCGCTTTCCGGGCAACGTCAGCGAACTTTGGTATAATTCTTCAAGGTGGATTCTTCATTGACCGAGTGGATCGATCTCTGCAGGCAGCTTGGCTCGATTTCTCTGTTAGAAAAACATGGGTTATCCTCGTTAAGGACTCGCCGATTGCCTCGCTGAACGACGATCTTCGTCGACGAAGGGACGAATATCACTCTTGACACGTTTCACATGTATTACCCAAAACCCGAGAGCACGAGGAAAGAGGCACGGGGCACGATCCAGCCGATTATCCTTCGCCGGTCTGTGTCCCCCTTTCTCTGGTTGGCAACAATGACATATACGCGTGTGTATATCGAGAGTATCGACAAGCAGAAAGCAGCGACGCGTACAGGCACACTTGATAGAAACACGAAAGCTCTCCTCTCCTCTCCACGACCGAGGCAAATTCTGCCACTCCAACTCTATTTCGCCGATCGATTTCCTCGTTCTCGATCGGTGCACGATTCGCGAAACAGCGATTCCGACTATTTTTCCCACTCGAGAGATCGAAGCGTGACTATGACTATGCGCGCTTGCGACGAACGCGAATTTCCTGGCCGAGAATCACCACACACCGTGGTCGCTTACGAAAATCGGCCAGAGGGTGGAATAATCGAAGGGAGGAAAGGTAGGAAAGGGTGGAAAAGAAAGGAGCAAAGGAGAGAAACGGAGAGAGGAAAGAAAATGGAATAACGAGGTAGGTAAAACGACGAGAGTTACCATATACGCTATCGTAGTACGTACATGGAATCGACCGATAAAGACATGCCACGCACGCGTGTTTCCAAGGTGTCGATTCGTCGATCTCCGAGTTTATTTTTCCATTGGCTTATCATCGGTGGTCGCGAGCTCGCGTTTCCACGAGCTGGACGAGCCACGACGCGATCGGACTGGAACGCGAGTCGGTGGGGAAAAGAGGAGGACGGACGGACGGACGGACGGACGGTCGGAAGACTGGAAGGAAATCCGTGGCGGAAAAAGAAACGGTGGCGTTGGATGGAAAAATTCGACTCGTCGGAATGGTTTCGAGTGCAGGTTAGTTAAACACGATAAGGAAGGCGACTCTTTCCGTCGCAATAATCTCGCGGCTGGCCTCGACGATGGCGGCACGATAGATAGAAACGGGGTAGCGATTCCGCGGTGCGCGGAGAGAACGGCTGGAAGAAATGCGAGAAAACGTTGGCAGAAGGAAAGAAAAAACGAGCAGACAGAGGAAGCAGCAACGAGTTTCTGGGCGGAGCGATAGCGAATGGGCGTGAGAGAGAGAGAGAGAGAGAGAGAGAGAGAGAGAGAGAGAGAGAGAGAGAAAGAGAGAGAGGACGACGGAGGATGAACGAAACGTTGGTTCGATCGATGTCGATCGTTATCGTTGCGGGACGATCGTCGTGGAAAGAACGAGATGTGTACCTCTCGGTTGGAAGAGGTGACCGCCGGTCGTGCAAGTTGAAACGCGGGACGACACTCTGCGCGAAAACGCGGATCGATCGCCGGTAACGAAATAGACGGGAACGAACGGCGCGAGGTTGCGCGTGAACGGTCGGCTACGAGGAACTGGGTCCATTTCCCTCCAGCGATAACCGCTCGGCCGGCCAACTCCGCTTCGTTAGACCGTTATCAGCGGTTGATGCTGATAAGCGATAGCGTTTACCTAACCGAGGCCGGATTCCGGCGCCCCGAGTCGGCAGATTCTCCAACACGGCCGCGAGCAGAAAAATATATTTACACCGCTGCCTATCGCCTTTCCAAGCGCGCACGGTCCATCAAATCCCCCAATCGTTCCGACCTTTCGATATCGCGTTCCCTACCCGCCCCCTCTCTCCGCCTCTTTCCCTTTTAACGAGAAGCCGAGAACAATGGAGATAATGGCAATTACGAGGAAAAACCTGGAAATTGGTAAAGGCGCGGCATCGAACGCCTCCTCGTTCTTCCTTTATCCGCGCCTGCAGCATTCGAGTTTACGCTCGAAAGCTATAATTTGCTCCACGCTTTGCCTCGTGATCGATATTCGTTCGAGTCGATGTACTCGCAGAGTACGGTGACGCATGGAAAAAAGGAGCCGCCGCGAGTTTCGGTAGATCCTTTCGCTGCGACGGTACCCCAGCGAATGCGCGAGTAGGGCAAAATTAGAAATGCGCCGGCTTCCGACCGATTTCCAGCGTTTTGGAGCGTGGCCAAAGGCAAAACTACCGAGCGTCGACGCCCGCGCCGCTCCGAGTCTTTTCGAAACTCGCGTCTTCCACGAAAAGGTTATCCTTCCGGAGCGCGTTCCGATCGATAACGAGCTATTTCCGCTATCGATATTTCCTCGCGTTTCGTCCACCGATTAGACGGTAAGCGCGAGACGGGGATAGAACGGAGAGGGAGGGAGGGGAGAGGGAGAGAGAGAGAGAGAGAGAGAGAGAGAGAGAGAGAGAGAGAGAGAGAGAGAGAGAGAGAGAGAGAGAGAGAGAGAGAGAGAGAGAGAGAGAGAGAGAGAGAGAGAGAGAGAGAGAGAGAGAGAGAGAGAGAGAGAGAGAGAGAGAGAGAGAGAGAGAGAGAGAGAGAGAGAGAGAGAGAGAGAGAGAGAGAGAGAGAGAGAGAGAGAGAGAGAGGGTCGGTAAGTCGCGGTTAAGAATCGAACAGGTGGCCGGCACAGCCGACCTGGAAAAAAATATACGACCGTTTAGTCGGACACGCGTTTCGCGACGTCGAAAACCCGTGGCCGCGCTCTCGCTCGCGTTTATTATCGCGCAACAACGTGCCCGACCAAGTGACACGACCACGCGTAATTGCAACTCTCGACTGCTGCGTGTAGTTTACGCGAGTAAAAACGATCAACGACGCATCACTGGTAGCAACCACGTAACGACCACTGTTCGGACCGAACGTCCCCTGGAATTCTGGTTCTCCCGAGAGGATACGCGAGAGGATCCGCGACAGGTAGGTACGCGACAAGCGCCACTGAATTTCTCCGCACCATCTTTCTTCACCGTTCGCGTACTTTTTCCACGCGGAACGCGTTAATCCGATATTCGTTCGCGGCTTACTCGTTGAACCAATTCTCCTCGCTTCTTCGCCCCGTGGCCCGTTGCAGTTGGGAGAAAGCGAATCGGTGGAAAGAGCGCCAAGGACGAGCAAATCGGCGCGGGCGAGGTTCGAGCGACGCGCGTCTATTCACTGCGTTTTCACCGTACGCGACGCGTTCGGTAGCGGCGAAATCGCGAAAAGATCGGGCGCACGCGCACTCGAGGATTCGCGCGGCTGAAACGACTCGCGTCGAGCAGTCTGGCCGATTCTCGATGAAACTGCATCCGGTCGGCGGATACGCGTTCTGCCACGCCACGCCACGCCGCGCCGCGCCACGCCACGCTACGCCACGCCACGCTGTCCACGGCGCGGCCGAGCCGCGAGGCAAAACTCCTGGCAAATGCGAGCGCCAGCGTGTACGCCAATTGCGGTCAACTGTGCGCGACCGACGAAAGCCGTGTTCGTGACTCACGCGCGCGACCATCCAGTCCATCGAGTAAACTCTCTCTCGCTCTCTCTCCCTCCCTCCCTCCCTCTCCCTCACTCTCTCTCTCTTTCTCTCTCGTCTCCCGTTTCTCGTTTCTCGCCACCTCTTTTCCAACGCGATTGCCTATCGCGTCGAGGGCTCAAAGTGCAAGTGCCGATAGCAGGTCTGTATTCCACCGTTTTGGTACCTGTGCCGCCATCTTTTCTGCTCTTCGACCAACGGCCTTGGAATCTGGTCGGTTAGGCTCGGGGAACTGGTCGTCCGAACGATCGTGCTCGACGAATCGTTTCCTTTTTCCTTTTTTTTTTTTTTTCCTTTTATTTCTTTTGTCTAAACGCGATCGAGATCTCGATGCCTGTCTACGATTCGACCGCTTCGACAAGGGCAAACTTGCACCGAAATCTCGCGCCGTTGCGGCAACGCGAATGCCGATAAAGTCGAGTTTCGCCGTGTGTCACCGCGTACGAAATTCGGGCAAGATCGCGGGATTTTTCGCGAGGAAAGCAACTGGACGAAACAACGGTTCCTCGCGATCCTTTGCGAGCCAGGTGCGTCGAGAAGGTATCGCGTACCACGCGCTTAGAAAGTGTCTAACCTTTCGCGTTCTGGATACATTACGCTCTGCCGCCCACGCTTTGCGTCGGATAAAAACGGGTAAAAATGAAAGTCGGTAAACCGCGTTGATCGTGCGAAACGTTGCGAAACATGGACGGTGCGGCCCATTCCGCGTTAGTCGGACAGCCAAGGTATCTATCGGTAACGACACGACCGAATTCGTCGCAGCCTCGAAACGATCGTGACTGGGCGAGTTCCAGCCGACTGTCGGTAACAAATGGCGCGAGGCTTTTGAATTCGAAGGCCACCGGGCGGGGGGCTGGCTATTCGTCGGATCGAATGTTCGAGAAAGTGTGACGATGGAGAAGAATTTTGCGTAACGGCGAGCATCTCGGTCTCGTTACGGTAAAAGAAGGCGAAAGAGAGCAACGAGAAGAATCGAGCGTTGGACGTGCACCGAGAGCGCTGTGCGGCCGTAAAACGTTGGTGCGCGCCAAGCGCGTGTATTGCCTGTCTCGCGAGCGTGCTAAAGTCTTTACGTGGAAAATCCAATCGGGTATGCTACGTGCCATTCGAATTGCGCAATGATACAGCGCGTTTTGCCACACCGGAAGGTTTCGGTCAGACGCAGTCTCGGGGAATAAGTGGTCGAGAATTGCTCCTTTTTATCCGACCGTCGTCGGTTCAAGGAAAACTAGACTAGTCGGTGTCCGAGACGCGAATTCTTTTGCCACGCGTAATAAGGTTCCCTTGGTTTCGCGTTAGCGAAGCACAGGTGTCTCGGTCCAGAACGGAGCGAGACTCCGCACGATCGCGGTTGTCAACGTTGCTCCTTTTTTCCGTTCGTTATTCGTCGGTTCGACGCTGCTCGATCACCGAGACGTTTATGGCGCCGGTGCTCCGAAACGCAATCCGCTTTTATCCTTTTTCCCTTACCAACCATCGAGTCGGTAGCGATCCGAGCGTGCGAATCGTGGAAGAGCCAGCCACGCGGCACGGTTCAAACGCGTCCGAAGAGACACGAGTTTTTCTTCTCGATGAAAGCTCTCCCGAGAATCGTTTTTCTCCTTTTCCTTTCTCTCGCGATCGTCGTTGCTGATCGCGACGATGCAGGCGAAAAGTCGCCTTCTCCGTGCTCGCGCGCAACCACTCTTCGTTTTGTTCTCGTGTCGATGCACTCGACCGGTCGAACAAACGCCACTAACGACGATTCGATTTTCTTCGCCTGTCGACGGAGAATCCCGACTCTATCGAGGCATCCGAAACGTGGTCGAGAGGCTGGCAAAAAGATCGGATTCTTCGTTTGCTTTCGCGAATCTTCGCGAACGGTCGACGATGCTGCTGCTCCGCGTTCGATACGCCCCTGCCAGCGTACAGCGAATTTACCGGCAACTTCCACGGGAAACCGTGTTCTTGCACGGTTCAGCGCACTGTTATTGCACGAATACAGGCACGACGACTCGGAACGGGATATCGCGAGATCTCGAAAACAAAAACCACGCGCCGATACACGCTTGCTCGGGAAATTTCGAAGGCGCGTGTCTCGATTTACTTTCGATCCACCTGGCCCACAAAGCGTTGGTTAGACCAACAAGCTGGAAATTTCATCTGCTCGAAACGAATAATCTCTCTCCTCGTCGCTTCTTTCCGGTTTACCGTTTAACTTCCGACTGGCCTGAACTAGACTAGACGATCTACGATTGCCATAGACGGCGAAAAATGTTCCCTCCGAAGCTTCGATCATCGATGCTCGTGCGTCTGTCGAGGCATTTTCACACGCTCGTTATTCTCGCGATAAAGCTGCGGGAGATAACGAACCGTGTCGGGTCTTTTTCGCATCGAAGGAAATATTTAACCAAGAATACGCGCCATCGAAGAAATAACAACTTTACGACTGAATTTCTCCGCGATACGGACTCGGTGGTCGCGCCGTTCAAGGGCAACGGGAAAGAACGGAGGAAAGAAGGAATAACGGTGGAAGGTGTATACCGAGATAACGATAGAGAGATGGTTAGAGCGACGAAGATGACTCGGGGCATTCTAAATTGTCAGAGTCGGGAAACAAGGCTTAACGCCATTAATTGTTTACCGCGCACGCGACACGCGACTGGCCTCTGACGCGACCTAGCGTTAGCTTTCAGTTACACGAGCTTCGCGAATGAAAATATCGAAGCAGGTTTACATAATTCCTGGTTAATCGAAACGGTGTACGCAGTTGGCTGCGAAACCGTCGTTGCTTCGCCTTTCCACGAGTGTAAACAAATTTTCGACTCTTAATCCTCCAACGCTCTTGGAACGCTTCGGTGACTTTCGGTTCGCAAAGGTAGCGCGTGTAATTGACGCGATTAAGCCAACCGAATCGTACATCTCATCGACGATCCACCTTTTTCTTATCGATCGTTTCGGCTCCACACTTTTTCGCGCAAACGCAAACGCTCGATTTCGAGAACGCACAGCAGCACGAGATCGTTCGTTCGTTCGTTCGTTCGTTCGTACGATCTCCGAGAGAAAGAAAAATGGAAGGAGAAGAGAGAGGGAGATCGTTAGAGGATTCGTGGTTGCAACGAGACGGAAAGTAATTTTGCTCGGTAGCTCGAGAGTGCCCGAGTCTTTCGCTT